GGTCTAGGTGTAAAAAGCTTTATTGATAAAGTTTTTAACTGCTGACTAGCTAATATGCTTTGTTTGAAATTTAGGAGAAACGTGAACGTCTTCATCATGCTTTAACATCAATAGCGTGGCCCATGACTCAAGCGGGCCTCTCTACGATATTAAGTCTATGTGTGCTGGCAGTTATTCAGGCTTATATGGTCCAAGTGTTTGTAAAAGTGGTTGTTCTAGTCGTGTTACTTGGATTATGCCATGGGCTGATTGTGCTACCTATTGTATTCGGTGCTATTCCATTGACCAAAAAAATCCCGCAGTCTTCAAGCAAGGTATTTTTTGCCGTTACAGTTTCGTGTCTTTTATATAATATTAGGTAGGTGGGGAAACTTTAATTGTTGTAAGAAAGTTAAATGGTTTTGAGACTATAAAATTGTACTTTATAATTTTTTTATGCTTTTTACAACTTTCTTTGGTATATATGACATATATAAAACGGACGATGTCTGGTTTTCTGCTTTTAAGCGAGTCTTTTTTTGTAGGTGCACGTGATACAAGTAGATCAAATGATTTATGACAAGAATGGAGTGGATAAAAAAGAACCTGGTGCACCTAGATATCAGAATTCAAGGGGTTAAACCCTTGTTGATGCACATCAATATTTTTCTTATTTTGTCCTACTTTTTATCTATGAGGTGTTTTTCAGCTACATAGATGAAACAGAACAACAAATAGCTCAAATCACAGATCTGAATAGGAGAAGGAATGATAATTGGTCTATATACTTTCAGCAGAATAATGCTCGAAAAAGAATGTAAAAAGAAAAGGAAGCAAAAATTTACCCAAACTTTTGTACATAATTGCGTATGTTTAAAAGCTAATTTGTATGTGCTTTACTTTTTTAGTACAGTTTTTTGCTTCTTGCTATTAGGTTATCGTTCTCTCTCCAAAGCGCGAAATACGGGCTCCAGATAGCAACTCAACTGTTCCATTTCTTGTTGACGCTTCGACACGTTAAATTCTTAGATATCAGTTGTTGTTAGCTTTTTTTTTTGTCGTTACTTACCAGTTTTTGTCTATTTTTGTCAAAATCACTTCAAATAATTTTTTATGCGCTATTTCAGCACTTCTTTTTCTTCTTGTTCTCAATCTTATTAGATCTATTTAGTTTTACGAAAAAATTTTCTTTTGTTTGTTTTCTAAAAATCTTGATGACTGAAAAATTTTTTATTTTTATGGTGTGTTAACTTGTTGTTAAATGATGTGATTGACCCTTATTAGTGTATTATTAATTGGGTGCCGTTCCCTTTTCTCTCCTTCCGAAACATGCGCGTCATTTCCCCCTCTCCATTTGTCATTAAAAAAACAGCAACGGCACCGAAAAAACTTCATGGTCGTTGCTAGCAATTAAATTGAATTATATATATATATATATATATATATATATATA